CCGCACATTCAGGTGTGTACACTAAGTCCACCTCAAATAATTTGAGTATAATATACAGTCAGTAAGGCGTATACATCTTGAGTACAGCTCAATGAACTTTTACCTTTGTATGCACCCAGGTAACCATCACCCAGCTCAAGATACTAAATCCACTTATTTTAGAACAATTCTTGGTTTACAGACTCATTTTGAGGATAATATAGTGAGTTCCCATATACCCCACACCCAGCTTCTCCTATGTATTAGACCAGGTTCTCCAGAGAAACAGAGGTTGTGTGTGTGTGTGTAAAGATATTTATTGTAAGTAATTGGGTCAGGTGATCCTGGGGGCTGAGCAGTCCCCAGACCTTCAGCCAGCAAGCTGGAGGCTCAGGAGAGCCACGGCGTAGTTCCAGTCCGCGCCCGAAAGCCTGAGCACCAGCAAAGTGGATGGTGTAAGTTCCATCAGGAGAACACTGATGTCCCAGCTCAGCAGTGAGGCAGGCCAAGTTCCCTCTTATCAAGACTCTGTTCTATTTAGGTCTTCAACTGATTGCACGAGGCTCACCACATCGGAAAGGGGAATCTGCTTTACTTAGTTCACTGATTCAACGAATGTTAATCTCATCCAGAAACACTCTCATACACACACACCCAGAATCACGTTTGACCACATGTCTGGGAACCCCATGATCCTGTCAAGTTGACACATAAAATTAACTATCACACTACTACTAACATCTTACATTGGAACGGCACATTTGCCACAGTCAATGAACTTGTACTGATCCATTATTATTAACTGAAGTCCACATTTTATGCAGGTTGCATCAGTTTTCTCTGGATTGTCCTGTTGCTGTTCCAGAATGCCATCCGTGACCCACATTTCATTAGGTTTCATGTCTCCTTAGGCTCTTCCTGGGGTGTGTGTGTGTGTGTGTGTGTGTGTGTGTGTGTGTGAGATCGTAACAGTGTTGAGGAGAACCGGTCAGGTATTTTATACAATGTCTCTAAACTGGGATTTGTTTGATGTTTTCTTCATGATTAGTGCTCATCCATCACATCAAGGGTGCATACTATCAACATGACATCACTACTGATGTTGACCTTGGTCAGCTGGTTAGAGGCCGTGTTTATCAGATTTCTATACTAAAAAAAATTACTCTTTTTTCTCTCTTTATATACTGTGCTCTTTGGAAGGAAGCCACCAACTTACAGCCCACTTTAAGGGCAGAGTATTGATGTGAATTACTTGGAATTCTTCCATATGGGAAATTGGTCTTTTCTCCCTCACTTATTCATTGATTTTATTTAATCAATCATGTATTTCTATCCCTATGGGCTCATACTTTAAGTTATAATCCAATACTTTAAGTTATAATCCAATACTATTTTATTTCTTCTGTTGTTCATACTTTAAGTTATAATCCAATACTATTTTATTTCTTCTGTTGTTCAAGTGGTCCCAGCTTTGGCCATTGGACACTCTCTCAGTGGGCTCCTCTCTCTTTGACACACCCCAATCATTGTAGGTTTTCTTTTTTTTCTCTGTTTGTTTTGTATTTTTTATCAAAAAAATTTTTTTTTCTTTATTAATTTTAGAGAGAGAGAAGGTGAGAGGGAGAGAGAGATAGAAATGTCAATGACAGAGAACATCAATTGGCTGCCTCCTACATGCCCCCCACTGGGGATTTGGCCTATAACCCAGGTATGTGTCCTGACCGGGAATCAAACTGGTGACCACTTGGTGCATGGGTTGATACTCAACCACTGAGCCACATTGGTCAGACTGTTTTTTTTTTGTTTGTTTGCTTGTTTTTTATCCTCACCCGAGGACATTTTTCTATTTTTTTGTTCAAATAGAGTGGGAGGGAGAGAGAGAGAGAGAAATACCGATATGAAAGGGACACATCGAGTGGCTGCCACCTGCATGACCCATCCAGGGCCGGGGACAAACTGCAACCGAGGTATGCGCCCTTAGTGGGAACCGAACTCGGGTCTCTCTGGACCACAGGCCGATGCTCTAACCACTGAGCCAAACCGGCCAGGGCAGTCAGACAGTTTTTAATTTTTTAAATTTATTGGAGTGACATTGGTTAATGAAATTATATAGGTTTCAGGTATACAGTTCTGTAATATATCATCTGTATTTGTACTGTGTGTTCACCACTCCAAGCCAAGTCTCCTTTGGGGTTTTGTTTTCTTCCCAGCATTTTATTACTTTCTGCCTTACAAAATGCTCCAGGATCATGTTGTATATTTTTTGCCCAGTTCTAGAATCAGCCATTTCTTCAAGGAACTCGGGTTCATTTTATTAGAGAATGGTGTTAGAAACCAAGATCTGGAAGCTAGATTGCTTCTAAGCCTCTCAGCTGAGACAGTGAGGAAGTATGTGTGTACAGTAACTTGTGTATACATACATTTATAAATGTTTCTGTATGTAACCAATTGTATCTATATTAAGCTAAACATGAGTTCATATTGATGCCTCTGATTCCAATCTATTACCACGGTGCATCATTCTAGCCTCCGCCCTTGGTTTAGCTGTAACTTCTCATTCCAACAGTGAGAAATCATCCATCTTACATCTACTTAATCTTCCCTTCTAGAGTACGTGTGCAGTGGTTTGAGTTGTTGACCCACACCCCCACGGGAAACCACTGCACCTACTAGAGTACAGTGATACGTGCAGGTCCTTTCACCGTTATTCCTACAGACTCCACTCATTTCCAGACTAGCACCTTATCCCCCTACCCCTTCACAAAGGCTGTTTCATACATCTGCAATACAGCTAGATTCTTTTGTCATATTCTGCATCCCATCCTGGGATCCCCAACCGCTTAAATGATTTTTTTGAATTTACACACATTAAAGTTTACTCTTTGACAAATGCTTACTGTATTGATTTCACTGTTACAGTCTCATACAGAATAGTTTCACTGCCCTAACAAAAGTCACCTATACTTCACCTACTCAATTCTACCCCTCAGCACCCTTGGCAACCAGTAACTTACTTTCTGTATAAGTTTGCCTTTTCCAGAATGTCATACAATAGGAATCACACAGTATGTGCCCTTTTCCAACTAGTTTCTTTCATTTAGCAATATGCCTATATTTGTCATTTTGTGGCTAGATAGATGATTTCCCGTTATTGCCGAATAATGGTCCATTGTAGGAATATATCACAGTCTGTTCATCTATTGAATGTCACCTCCTCTGGGAACACTATGTTGTCACCAGGCAGGCCCCTTCCTCTAAGTTCCAGTGCACCCTGTCCCAGTCTCCACATTGTCTTACTGCACTGTATGCCTTTGCCTCCCAGTATCTTCCTTGAAACTAGGGAACTCCTTGAGGACAGAGGTCATGGCCATTCATTTCCATATCAGTGTCTTACAGAGGTGGGGGACGTCCAGACTACAGGCCATACAAGGCCCTCGAAGTCAATACCAGCTAACATCACATGCCTCATCAAATTAGCCTGACCAAATATAGCAGGATAATTTTTAAGTTGATAATTTTGGATGGCCTGGTATTATAAATACTCAAATGGCCCTTGCAAGAAAAAAGGTTCCCCACAAGGTCTGGGATAGAGGACAGAGTCAGAAAAATGCTTGTTGGATGAGTGAATGAATGTTCTGGAGATGAAAAGAATCTACAGACTTGGGGGCATAAAGGGCACACAAGGACAGAGATTTTAGGGACAAGAAGCCTGGGAGAAAGAGTTAGTGTTTGGAGGAGAGTGTAAGATCTAGGGTAGAGGCCCAGCCGGTATATCTCAGTGGCTGAGCACCGACCCATGCACCAAGAGGTCACCAGTTTGATTCCCAGTCGGGCACGTGCCCAGGTTGTGGGTCAAATCCCCAGTGGGGAGCATGCAGGAGGCAGCCAGTCGATGTTCTCTCTCATCGATGTTTCTCTCTCTCCTTCTCCCTTCCTCTCTCTCTCAAATCAATCAATCAACCAATCAATAAAAAGGATCTAGGGTAAACATTTGATGGGAGGGGTCTGGGTGGAGAAATGGAAAGATTTGTAGGCACTGGGGTGGGACAGAAACAAGAATGAAACAATAAGCACTTTATAAATAAGCATTTAATCCATACAACAAGCCTATGAGATAGTTATTAGCATCTCCATTTTTACAGATGGAGAAACTGAGGCGTATTGAGGTAAGCAACTTGCCCAAGGGAAAATTGCTAGTGGAGGTGGAATGAGATTTGAACTATAATTCTGACTCCAGTCGGTGCTTTTTTTTTTTTTTTTGGTAATCTTCACCAGAGGATATTTTTTCCATTGATTTTTAGAGAGAATGGGAAGAAGGGAAGGAGGATGAGAGAGAGGAAGAGAGAAACATTGATGTGAGAGACACTTCGATTAGTTGCCTCTTGCACGACCCCAACGGGGTCTGGGGATCCAACCTGCAACCCAGGTACCTGCCCTTAACCGGGAACTGAACCCACGACCCCCCGTTGCGTGGGGCCCACGCTCTAACCACTGAGCCTCACCGGCCAGGGCTGGTGCTCTTTTTTGATACAAGGCCTGGCATGCAGTAAGTATTTAACAAAGATTAGCTATTCCTACTGCTGTTATTTATGTGGCACAGGAGTGGGGGGCCTTGCAGGAGCAGGTTGAGGGGTCTTTGAGGTCGCCCTTGGGCCTAACACTAGCCAAGACCCCAGGGGGAGGCAATTCAGAGGAAGAGGTGCGATGGTGGCGTCGGTGAGAGACCCATTTCCATGGGAACAAACGAACGCTTTAGGAGAGGGCGCATGCGCGGATCGTGAACAGGTTGTTGAACCGGCGAAAGGTGACGTAAAAGCGCACGGGGTGAGACGCAGGGCTCGGAACGTCAAAGCCCTGCGTCCTCCGGCGTCGGGGCGGAGGAAAGGCGCGCTCTGTGGCGGCGGCGGCGACAGCAACCCCAGCAGGACCAAGGCCACAGCAACCCCGGCTAGAACGAGATCGGGCAACGCGCAGCTGACGTGCGAAGCAACGCGACTTTGGCGGGGAGGCCGTGCCCGCGCCTGAGAAGACTCTCAGTGCGAAGCGCGGCGGACCAGACCCAGGTCCTGGCTTCCGAGGCCCCGCCTCTCGAGTCGTGGGACTAATCGGTTTGAGAGCGCGCGGTCCGGAGCCGCGAACTCTCCAATTGTGGAGGGCGTCGGCCACCGCCCAATCCGAAGCAGACAGGTGCGAGGTCCGGAAAGCAGAAACCAATCAGCAGTGGTTGCGGCCTGTTGGGGCCGGGCTCGGCCAATGAGGAGGTCCGAATGACATCTTTGCGCACCAATCGGGAGTGAGAGAGCGTTTGTGCCCGTCCGCCCTTCCGGCCTGAGCTCTATTTACTAGGGGCGTGCAGCCCGCCTGCCAATCAGAGCGCAGCTGAGTGGCCAGGCAGCCAACCCCGGAGGAGCGGCCGGCCGACGTCCGCCGCACCCAGGAGTTGGGGATGTCCTACAAACCCATCGCCCCCGCCCCCAGCAGCACCCCGGGCTCCAGCACCCCTGGGCCCGGCACCCCAGTCCCTACAGGTGAGGATCCAGCTCCATCCCTGCTCGCCTGCCCGGGCAGTCGAGGTTTCGAAAAGAAGACGGCCTGAGTTCTGCAGTACTGGGCCTGCCGCCTACACTCTCTGAGCCTCAGTTTGCTGGCCTGTAAAGTGGGCGTGGTCACGTAAGGGTCTGGTGGGGTTCAGGGGGAGGGGTTCGTCCCTGAAGTTAAGCAGCTTGGAATGAAGCATCCCTCTGGACGGAATCGGGCGAGTCCGGTCAGGGCTTGGAGTGCTGGGAGGAGATGTCCCTGCCTTGCGCTGACCTCTTAACTCACACATGTTGCAGCCGGAAGTGTCCCATCGCCGTCGGGCTCGGTGCCGGGAGCCGCTGCCCCTTTCAGACCACTGTTTAACGACTTTGGACCGCCCTCCATGGGCTATGTGCAGGTGAGTGGGGCCGAGAGATTGCCTGTGGTTGGAGACTGGAGGCCCCCCCCAGGGCCTGAGCTCACTGCTCTGTTCTCTTTTAACATAGGCAATGAAGCCACCCGGCGCCCAGGGCTCGCAGAGCACCTACACGGACTTGCTGTCGGTCATAGAGGAGATGGGCAAAGAGATCCGGCCCACCTATGCTGGCAGCAAGAGCGCCATGGAGCGCCTGAAGAGAGGTGAGTGCGGCCAGGCCCCCAACCCCACCCAGAAAGGAAGGACCACCTGAGCCTAGCTAGGGCCAGGATTACTATCCATAGGTGTGTTGAATTGAAATTTAGTCGGTTTCCAGGGAAGGACCAGAGAATTTATATTTCAACAGGGTCAATTTGAGGATTAGCTAAACCTCTAATCTCACCTAGCCCTTCATCATATTATGGTTAAAAGGAAAGGAAGTGGGGAGGGATGGGTTTTCCTCTGGAGCGCGTGGGTGGGACTGGAGGGTCGCTGTGACCCTGTGTGTTACTTCCCCACCCCCACCCCCATCCCCACCCCAGGCATCATCCATGCCCGGGCCCTAGTCAGAGAGTGCCTGGCAGAGACAGAGCGGAACGCCCGCACGTAACAGGAAGCATCTCCGCCTCCGAGTCTGGACCTTTCCCGGCCACTGCAGGGCACCTGCTTCTCCCTGGCCTTCACCCTGAGTTGCACTTCCTGTCCTGTGTCCCTTGGTGGGTGCCCTCCAGGAACCAGGGGTGGCTCTCACTCCAGTCAGCAGCACTAACTTGAGACCCCTGGAACACTTAGCAGCGAGGTCACTGTGAGTCCCACTCATGAGCTGCCATCGGTGTTGATCCAACTGGAGCTTTCTTCTTTCTGTGGCTCCCACCACTCAGCAATTACCCAGGACTTCGCACCACTTTGTCCCAGATCCTTCTCCCCCAGCAGGGCCTCAGAAGGCCTGTCACCTCCCTGCCTTGTCTCCTGGGCCATAGCCTCTCTTTTCTCAGTGTGTCTTTTGCTAAACTTGCCCTTTTTGTATAAATAAAAGATAATTTGGAGTTGTTCTCTCAGCTCTTAGTCTTTCTGAGTCTGGTACTTCTGCTAAACTGGGGTGGGCTGGAAAGAAAGGGAAAAAGAAGACTCAGAGTGGTGCAGTGGCCGACTGAGCCTGGCCCCACCTGCTCAGTCGACAGCCTCCTGCTCTCCATTGACCTTGGGAGGGACCCTGCCCCTGTCTGCCCTCAGTCTTCCCAGCTTTAAGTAGTGGAAAGAGCGCCAGTAGCTGAGAGCCTCGCCTTGCTTCACGTGGCGCCGCCAGGGGGCAGTGCAGGGCCTTGGCCTCCACAGCTGGAGGGCAGTGTCACTAGCCAAGGCCTAGAGGGTTCTACCTCTGGATTAGCTGTGATGCCTGGCAAGGTGGAAATGCCAGTTCGCTTAAGCCACGCCCTCATGCCTTACTACGCTAACAGTCAGCTGAACCAGCCCTCAGAGGCTGAATACGCCCCATCTCTGACTCCTCAGAGAGGAGGCACTGCTGCTTCCTTCCCCCCAGCACCTGCGAAGCAGAGCCAAGGGGAGAAGATAGGCTTCCAGCATGGGTGCTGCCATCCACTGTCCCAGCGCCTTTAGGGGACTGGGTGTGGTCCCACCAGCCCAGCCCACGTATTCTCAGCCTTTGCCCAGGGTCTGGTGGTGGCTGGTTGGCCAGACTTGTGGACCCGGAAGGTATTCGTGGGGCCACATGGAGGGGCTGGTCATAGGAATGACTGCAGGCCTCTGCTTGGGTGTGTAGATAAATGACCCTAGAGGCCTGGGGCGCTGGAATCTCACCCCTTAGGTAGAGGTAAGTCAGAGACCAGCTTCTGGCCAGAATTTGGGGGGAATGCATTTTCCCTGAGTCTCAGCTTTGAGGGGTTGGGAAGAACGGGGGTGGGACCCTGCCATGTTTCCCTAGCACATGGGGAGAGATGGACTAGGTTGGAAACAGAAACCAAGAGTGCTTTGGAGATTCCAAGGAGCACAAAGGTAGTAAAAAGCACCGGCATTTGGAGAACTGCCTCTTCCCCCGCTGCCTTGGGGAAGGAAGGAAGGGGCCGCCCTCCTCCGCTGCGGGCGGGGCTGCGGGGACCCCGCAGGGGTGGGGAGGGCCCGCCGGTCCCAGGAAGGGGGCGGGGCGGCCGCAGTGACGCGGCGGGCGGCGGGCGGCAGGGAGGGACGGCTGGGGCGCCGGAGGGCGAACAGGGAGAAAGGTCGGGGCCATGGGCCGGCGCTGCGGTTCCCGAGGGTCCGGCCACTGCTGGAACCCGAGACCGGGGGTGGGGGCGCTTAGGGCTCAGACCCTTAGCCCGTCCGCCCCCACCCGTGCCCGGTGAGGGGCGCCCGCCCTCAACTAGAGGTGAGCTGGGACGGGCCAAGAGCACGGCGGGGGAGCTGAGGAGCAGAGGGAAGTGGGGACAATGGGGCCTCTCGCCTGCTTCTGGCGGGGTGGTGGGGTACGATGGGTTCCTGCAACGGAACCGGGTCTCGGGTGAGCAAAGAGTCTCTCGGGATTGGAGCCCGTGGGATACCAAGTGGAGCCATTCAGCCCGAAGAGGAGTCAACCCCTGGGAAGGATGATGGGGTCCAGGAGGGATGCTGGGGAGTGGGGAGTCGAGGACTGGGCTGCGGCCAGGGTAGGGAAGGCAGGTCTGGGGGACGGAGGGTTTGGTTAACTGGTCCTGGAAGGCTGGTTCGGGTGTGGGGAACACTGACAGATGCTAATAGGAGGGGCGCACGGGGCTGCTCCGTGGAAAGACACCTGGGGGGATAAGGTTTTAAGTAGACGAAGGGAGTGGGGGACACGGGACCCCACTACTCCAAGTAATGGATGCAGGGGACGGCCCCGAAGGGCCGGTTGTGAAAGGCAGGCCCGGAAGGAGGGGCCCCGGGGACTCCAGGGGGCGGGTCCCCAAGGGATGCTGTTTCCAGGGGGCTTCGAGCACCGCTGGAAAGGCTAGGCTGGCCAGCCCCGCGCCGCCGCTCCGGGGGGCCCGCGTCAGCACGCGGTTGCCATGGCGACGGGCGGGGGGCGGGGGCTGTACCGAAAAGAGGTCAGTGCTCAGCCTAGCTGCGGCTCCGGGCCCCCAGCGGCGCTGGCGGCAGCGCTGGGTTCGCTCCTGCCTCCCCCGTGGCGGGCCCGGGCATGGGGTCCTGCGGCACAAACCCCTCGGCCTGCGCGCGGGGCTCGGGACTGCGCGCCGCCGCCCCGCTCTGACTGCCGCGCCGTGCCCTGCGCCAGGCGGAGCGGAGGCCGCGCGCAGCCGGCTGAGCGCTTTCAGGATGCTCATCAAGGAGTACCACATTCTGCTGCCCATGAGCCTGGATGAGTACCAGGTGGCCCAGCTCTACATGATCCAGGTGAGGGCGGTGGGAAGCGGGAGACCAAGGGGGCCACGCTTCCTGATACTTCATCATACTGCATGCAGGAGCACACAGGCCGCACCTGGAACAAGGGGCTGGGGCTCATCCCCCACCAGTCCTGCTCCAGGGCTTGAAAGGGCTCAGAGGCCAGAGAAGAGAGAGATCTCCCTTCAGATGCAGGGGGAGAGTGTAAAGGCTGTAGGGAAGACAGACAGAAGGGCCTGGCGGTGCCTCCCCACCCCCCAAGTGCTCAGCCCATGTATGATCGCCTTTAATCCTCAGAATCTGTAATCCCATAGAGAGAGGGAGCACATGAGGTAGAAGTGAGAGGCAGGGAGTGAGGAGGGGTCCTAGGTTGTAGAGAAGGCTGGGAGGGCGTCCCTAGAGGGTACAGGATCCTGGCAAGCCCAGGTCAGGGAGATGGGATGAAGATCAGGTACCAAAACTGAAATAGAGGGGCAGGCACGGACCCCAGAGGATAACGGAGGGGGTCTGGGCTTGGGCTGCGAGAAAAAGGAGCACGGGCAGGCTCTCAGGGAGGGGAGAGGGTTGGTGCAAGCCCGCGGGGAGGCCTGCCCCAGATGTGTTCCCCAGAGTTTTAGTATCACAGTCTTCAGGGACAAGAGGGCCAGGATCCAGCCTTAGGGCTGAGTGGGCCAAGTTTGGGCTCCAGAGCTATAAAAGGGCAGGATCTGAGCGCTCTGAAACCATGAGGGGTGTGGCAGGAGCTGGTTGTGGGGTCCCACAGAGAGAGGGGACTTAGGGTCAAGGTCCTCAGAGTGGTGGGGGCCCCTTTTATCCTCCTCAGTTCTCCCAGCCCAGCCTCCTTGCTGCCCCTGAGCCCGTGCAGCATGCTCCCACCTCAGGAGCTTGCGTTGGCTTTTCCTGTGCTTGAATACCCCCCCCCATCCACTCAGCACCCTCCCTCCCCTCCTTGAAGTCATGTTCAGATCTGTCATGTTATCTCCCTGAGGTCTTCCTGACCATCTGTGGAAACTATAATCCCCAAATCAATCCCCCTTACCCCATTCTATGCTTTCTTTTTCCCATAGCACTTACCCCTTCTAACATATCATTTGCTTTATTTCTGTGTGTCTCCCTCCATTAGAATGTAAGTTCCACAAGGGCAGGGGTCTTTTTGCTTTGTCAACATATCCTAATTAACACAATCCTAAACAGTCCCTGGACTAAAGCAGACACTCAGTAGACACTTGAATGACTGAATGAGGACTGGGTTGCAGAGCCCGTGCGGCACTGGACAGTGGCTGTGATCCTGATCCCAGGAGCAGCTGGGACCAGGGTAGGGTTTCAGGGAACTGGGAAGGCTAGGACTAGGGCCATAGAGCTGTTCAGGGGGCCAGGCACAGCTCGGGGTCCCAGGCGCTCAGCCCGGCTGAGCTCCATCCGCATTCTGCTTTGCCCTGGACTACAGAAAAAAAGCCGGGAGGAGTCGAGTGGTGAGGGCAGTGGCGTGGAGATCCTGGCCAACCGGCCCTACACGGACGGGCCCGGTGGCAGTGGGCAGTACACGCACAAGGTGTACCACGTGGGCTCCCACATCCCAGGCTGGTTCCGGGCACTGCTGCCCAAGGCCGCCCTGCAGGTGGAGGAGGAGTCCTGGAATGCTTACCCCTACACCCGAACCCGGTGAGTGGGTGGATGGGCCCGGGGCCATGAGGGGAACAGCCCTGCTGGGCACAGTAGTGACCCTTGGCCTACCCTCTGCCCAGGTACACCTGCCCCTTTGTGGAGAAATTCTCCATTGAAATAGAGACCTATTATCTGCCTGACGGGGGGCAGCAGCCAAACGTCTTTAACCTGAGCGGCGCTGAGAGGAGACAGCGCATCCTGGGTGAGGCCTGGAGCCAGGGGGGACCCTGGACACCCTCTCAGGCCACCTGACACCTTGATGGGCAGCCTCTGACAAGTCCCAGGCTCTCTGGGCCTTGGCTTCCTGTCTTCAGAAGGCTGCCCTGGGGTCCTGAGGCAGGGAAAGGGTGGCAGGGGCTGGAGCGGGCAGGTGGTGCTCAGTGCTGCTGGAACCCCTCAGACACCATCGACATCGTGAGGGATGCTGTGGCTCCAGGCGAGTACAAAGCAGAAGAGGACCCCCGGCTGTACCGCTCCGTGAAGACGGGCCGAGGTCCGCTGGCTGATGACTGGGCACGCAAGGCGGCCCAGACGGGGCCCCTCATGTGCGCTTATAAGCTGTGCAAGGTCGAGTTCCGCTACTGGGGCATGCAGGCCAAGATCGAGCAGTTCATCCACGACGTCGGTGAGCACCCAGCCACGGGAAGTTCTGTGTACCCAGCATGCATCAGCCCCTGTGTTTGAGCCAGGGTGCTCTCAGGCTACATGGGACACAGAAGCGTAAAGCCATCATTTCCATTTGATGTGGTGAGTGCTGAGGAGGGAGCAGCACAGCCTGGCCTGGGGCAGGGCAGATTAGCCTTGAGATTCAGGTGAGAGTGGGGAGCAAGAAGCTGGCGACGACGTGACCCTGAGGCCTAAGATTCTAAACCATTCTGTGCATCAAGTGAGACTCAGAGACCTCCAGGAGGGTCACCAACCTTAAGTGGCAATGTGCTAAGAATAGCAGGCTGAGGCTATGACTCTGATGTCATTCTCTCAGCGACCCTCCTAGCCCCAGCTCCCAGAGACCCATCCTCTGGCCATGGTATCCAGGAGCCCCTGTTTCAGTGCCACCCTAAACCCAACCCCACAGCTCCTGCCTCAGCCCTGCCCCACCTCCCAAGTCTGAGGGCAGGCCAGCTGCAATGAGAAGGACCCCTGGCCTGGAGGGGGGCATCCAGGGGCCTGGGTTCCACTCTCCTACAGACTCTCACAGAACCCCCAGCAAGCCACTTCCCATCTCTGTACCTCAGTTTCCCCTTCTGTGAACAAGGGGGAGTTTGGGCAGATGTTAAGAGCTAAGGTCGGTCACAACATGCAGATTCTTTGCTAATCACTTTTCATGCAAGATCTTTAACACACACAACACCCTCAAGGCAGGACTATTCCCATTTTACAGATGAGGAAGTTGAGCTCAGAGAGTAATACAGGCTCCTTGTCTTACATTTGGAAAAATGCCAAAAGGCACAAGTAAGAAAACTAAAAACACCCACATGTAACTACTCTTAAGATTCTGATATATTTCCCTCCAGAAGTTTATCATTGTTATAATTCAACCATTCTTACTGTATTTCCTAGATACTGAGGTTTCAAGCTTTATTCTGCTTAAGATGAAAATATCTGAATGGGTAATGGGTATCATCTTTCACTACAATCTTCATTAAGTGCGAACGCTTCCATTAACTATTAACACCTTCATTAACCATCAACAATTTCATTAACTGTTAACGCTTAATTGTTAACTCCTCTGAAGAAGTCAGCAGGAAGCCGGATGAAAGAGCGAAAACAAGCATTAGTTCTAGTTTCCTATGGTGTGCGGGTGCAGCCAGCGCTCAGAGTTGGGGTGTCCAGAGGGATAGAAGAGGCAGTGGGCAAGGAGAGAGGTGGGGCAGGAAGACAGACGCCCCAGTTTCCACTCCCATCCCCAGGATACTTGCCCTGCCCTACTTTGCGGCTCTGGGTAGGTGACGTGCCCAGGGGAGCCATTAACTGACCTCGAGGGCTGGGCATGTGGACGTTGAGCAGGGGAACTCGGCGTGGAGAGGGCATTGTTCTGATGCCTGGGTACCTACAGGTCTTCGTCGGGTGATGCTGCGGGCCCACCGCCAGGCCTGGTGCTGGCAGGATGAGTGGACAGATCTGAGCATGGCTGACATCCGGGCACTGGAGGAGGAGACTGCCCGCATGCTGGCTCAGCGCATGGCCAAGTGCAACATGGACAGTGAGGGGCCTGAGGCCCAGCCCTCCGGGAAGCCATGCACTGAGGCCCAGGCTGGGGCCAGCCATGCTGGCACCCCCGATGGGCCCGAGGTCCCCCTGGGCCCCGACGCCTCACCCGATACCAGCTTTGGCAAACAGTGGTCCTCATCTTCCCGTTCCTCCTACTCGTCCCAGCATGGAGGTGAGGCCGAGGCCCTGGGATGGGAGGAAGCGGCCTGCAGGCTGGCTTCCCAGGCTGACCCTGATGTGGCCCTGCAGGGGGCGTGTCTCCTCAGAGCTTGTCTGAGTGGCGCATGCAGAACATTGCCCGAGACTCTGAGAACAGCTCTGAAGAGGAGTTCTTTGACGCCCACGGTCAGCACTGCGGTCCTGGTGCAGGTGGGTGTGTCCCTGAAACGTCTTCCACCCCATGACACAGTCCCTTGTCTCTTCAGAAGGCTTCTCGGACAGTGAGGAGGTTTTCCCCAAGGAGATGACCAAGTGGAACTCCAATGACTTTATCGACGCCTTCGCCTCCCCGACGGAGGCCGAGGGGGTGCCAGGTAAAGATCTGGAATCAGGTTGCCAGCACCCCATATGCAGTGGTGACTTGGGGAACAAGTCAGTCCTGGGTTTAGTGGGGCCCTCAGATGAACGTCAGTCCAGAGGGGTGTCATTGAATGCAGGTGAACGGTGAGTGAGTGACAGGGATGCGGGACGGCTGGAGTACAGTCAAGGTTCAGACAGAGCACAGAGCGTGGAGGAATTCATCCGGAGGCCGGGAAGGCTCCACGTGGGCTGTTGTCTAAGCTGGGCACTGGCTGTCCAACAGCTTCTGTGGCGATGGTGATGGCCTATCCGTGGGCACATGTGGCTGTCAAGCACCTGATTGTGCTCAGCGTGACTGAGGACCTGACGTTTGAATTGTATTTTAATTATTTCCATGTGAAGAGGCACATGTGGATAGTGGCTGCCATTTCGGACAGGGCAGAATTAGGCATTTTCCAGACAAACGGGCATTGTGGGGAGAGGCTTCCCTGGTGGCAGAGGACCGGCACAGACTGAAATAACCTGGGAGAGGTGACTGAGTGACGGTCACAGGAAGGTGGGGGGGGGGGGGGAGTGCCACTCCGGCAGACAGAAGAGCAGGAGGATCTGAAGTGTCAGATGGAGGGACCCCCACAGACCCTTCAGTCTCCTTCACCGACTGTCCCCTGTCCTTCAGACCCCGGAGCCGAGGCCGCCAAAGATACGAGGGACAGGGCCCGAGGACCCAGGGACTCGGAGGTAAGTATGAGCAGTCACCGTGTCACAGTCTGCCCACCCGCCTGCTAGGCCACTGCTGACACCCCGGGCCCCCCCGCCCTGCAGGGCCCAGATGGAGCAGGAGAGCTGGGGGCCGAGGCGTGCGCCGTCCACGCCCTCTTCCTCATCCTGCACAGCGGCAACATCCTGGACTCCGGCCCTGGGGACGCCAACTCCAAGCAGGCGGATGTGCAGACGCTGAGCCTGGCCTTCGAGGCCGTCACCCGCATCCACTTCCCCGAGGCCCTGGGCCATGTGGCGTTGCGCCTGGTGCCCTGCCCACCCATCTGTGCTGCTGCCTATGCCCTGATCTCCAAGTACTGGTCAGGGGTGGAAGGGTGGGGGGTACACAGGGTCCCCAAGGTGCAGAGGTCTACCTGGGGGCTCCATGGACCAGGAAGACCCCATGGTGGGACGGGGAGGAAGCCGGGAAACGGGACACCTTGGCCAGTTGGCCACAGAGCTGGACCTCGGTTTCTAGTCAATGGCTTCATGACAACGGCTTCTGGGTGCTGACGCTGCCCATAGTGGCCCTCGGCACTAGCACTTGCTGGCAGGCCAAGGGGACGTGGAGGGGGAAGTGCAGGGGACACAGGCGCCTACCCACCCACCACACCTCCTCTTCCTACAGCCTGAGCCCCTACAGCCATGACGGCGACAGCCTGTCCCGTTCCCAGGACCACATTCCACTGGCTGCCCTACCGCTGTTGGCCACTTCATCCTCTCGATACCAGGGCGCTGTGGCCACCGTCATTGCCCGAACCAACCAGGCCTATGCCGCCTTCCTGCGCTCGGCTGAGGGCGCTGGCTTCTGCGGGCAGGTCAGGAGCCACGTTGCTTCCGGGGAGCTTGCTGTGGAGCCTCCATGCGCCTGTCCGCCCCTCCTGATGGCGCTGCCCTCACCCAGGTGGTGCTCATTGGAGACGGTGTCGGTGGAATCCTGGGCTTTGACGCACTCTGTCACAGTGCCAGCGTGGGCACGGGGAGCCGGGGCAGCAGCCGCCGAGGGAGCGTGGTCAGTGTGGCTGGACCCTGCCTCCTCAGGAGGGTGGCGTCCCTCCATCTCTAGGGCTCTGCCCCCTGGAACAGGACCTGTGTGCAGACAGGTCCCCTGCTGCCTTGTCCTGTCCCCTCTGGGGCTCTGCCTGCCCACTTTCCTGGACTCCCTGCCCAACATCCAAGCTTCTCTCCTCCTCACTTCCAAATAAGTAGAAAGCATATCTCCAGTCCTAAGGACTTTCTGTCCTCTGTTCCTTTTAGAACAATGAGCTGCTGTCCCCTGAAATTGGCCCAGTGAAGGACCCCCTGGCAGATGGGGTGGAGGGGCTGGGCCGGGCCAGCCCGGAACCCTCAGCTCTGCCCGCCCAGCGTGCCTCCAGCGACACAGCCAATCCTGAACCTGAGAGCTCTCAGAACAGGTGACATTCCTGCCCCATCATCGCCATCGCGGGTTTGTGCTGGGCCGTTGAGGCAGCAGCACTGAGCACCCTTCCCCCACAGCCTGCAGGTGGCCCCCATGACTGCCTCCTCCTCCGGGGAGCCCAGGCGGGCAAGCACAGCCTCCTGCCCACCCACTGCCACCTCTGAGGCTCCCGATGGCCCCATCAGCGCGGCCCGCCTGGACTTCAAGGTCTCTGGCTTCTTTCTCTTCGGCTCCCCGCTGGGCCTGGTGCTGGCTCTGCGAAAAACCGTGATGCCTGCCTTGGAGGGTGAGCCCTCAGGATGGGGTGGGGGCCGCGCGGGCCTTCATCTGCCCCTCCCCCGGCTCCTCGATTCATCTCACCTGAGATGCTGGCCTTGTCGCCATCCCCCACTGCACAGTGCAGTGGCCTAGCTAGAGAAGGGGAACCTGTGGCCCAGAAAGAAGGGACTTGCCAATGCCAAGTTTCCCACAGGGCACCAGGAGGAACTCATGCCCACAGATGCTCTGTGTGAGAAGAGGGTCCAACAAGCATGGGAACCGCTTCATCCTGAACCACCTCAGCAAATTGAAGGCTCTGATCTCTTCTTAGCCAAGAGATCTGTCTCGCTGAGCAGGGCCTGGTGACCTCCCAGGGAGTGCAGTGTGGGAAGCACTGGCTCAGGGTCACACAGCATGTCAGGGTGCTGCCTCCCAGAGCGCCCCGACGAACTGTCTCCCCTTTATCTCCTGGTACCAGTGGCCCACATGCGCCCGGCCTGCGAGCAGATCTACAACCTCTTCCACGCGGCCGACCCCTGCGCCTGCCGGCTCGAGCCCCTGCTGGCCCCCCAGTTCCAGGCCATCGCCCCACTGGCCATACCCCGATACCAGAAGTTCCCCCTGGGAGACGGCACGTCCCTGCTGCTGGGTATGCCCCCACCCATGACAAAGGGGAGGAGGCGGGACCGCACAGGGAGGGATGGGGATAGGCCCCTCACCCAAGGAGACACGAGGCAGTCTCCATAGCACTGGTAACCTGTCGTGTCACCGTCCCCAGGACTAGGCAGCCCCTTGGGGGGTCTGCCCCAGCCCCTTGGGGGGTTTGCATCCCCAAGACTCTCTGACACCCTAAGCCCAGGAGTAGGGGCGCGGTGACGGCTAGACTAGAGCAGGCAGTGACACTGCTATGCCAGTGTGAGCAGCCACCAGTGGGGAAGTGCGGGGGGACACTGTGCCACATGCACTGTGTTCACATATCTGTGGGGCATGTACCTGTGTGTACTTGGCCCCCTGAGACACAGTGGGCCGGCGTTGGGGTGGCGGTGACAAGCATTCTGGCGAGAACGCAGCAGGCCGTTGGGGCGAGCAGTTCGGCCGCCGTCAAGGGCTGGCAGGGAAGCTGTGGAGGTGTGGGGGCTGAGCTGTCCTGGGAGCCCTGGGTGGGAGGGCAGCTTGGCCCAGCCTGCTGCTGAGCTGCCCCTGCTCCCCCAGCTGACACTCTGCAGACCCACTCAGGCCTCTTTCTGGAGGAGCTGGAGATGGTGCCCTCAACACCCACCTCTAGCAGCGGTGCCTTCTGGAAGGGCAGTGAGTTAGGCGCCGAGCCGCAGGCCCAGCCAGCTGCCTCCAGTACCACCAGTGAGGTGGTTAAGAGTAAGCGAGCCCCCCAGCCCCTGAGACACCCCAGTCCCCGGCATCTGCTTTGGAAGCCCCTCCTCCAGCACCCAGCGTCCTAAGGGAGGGGGTGGGCGGCGGGTGGGCGGCCACCCGGACTCACCGCAGGCCTGGCTTGCAGTCCTGGAGCGGTGGTGGGGGACCAAGCGGATCGACTACTCCCTCTACTGCCCCGAGGCGCTCACCGCCTTCCCCACCGTCACGCTGCCCCACCTCTTCCACGCCAGCTACTGGGAGTCGGCCGACGTGGTAGCCTTCATCCTGCGCCAGGTGGGCGGGGACGCGGGGTGGGAGAGGGAACCCAAGGAGGGGAGCTGCGGGCGGGGACCCTGTTCACCTGGCCCAGCCCGGCCCTGTGTAGGTGATCGAGAAGGAGCAGCCGCAGCTGGCCGAGTGCGAGGAGCCGTCCATCTACAGCCCGGCCTTCCCCAGGGAGAAGTGGCAGCGCAAACGCACGCAAGTCAAGATCCGAGTAGGTGCACTGCCCCCTCCAGCCCTGCCTTCCTCCGGATCCCCGCCCCACCCCCTGTGGTCCTGGCCCCGCCCCTGGGGCCACTGGTCTCCTCCCCTCGCCCAGCGAGTTAGGTCTCTGACCGCTCACCCAGCCCAGCTGGTCCTCTGCCTGTGATCATGTCACAGCTCTACCCCCTCGGAAGCAGTCCACACACACAGGGCGGAGGGCTGCAGAAGCACCCACCCCCTGGCCTCGCTCCTGTCCCGCAGCGGCCCCTCCAGCCCCTGCCCCCTCGGGGCGCTGGTCCCTTCCTTCACGGCATCCCCAACACCTGGCTGCACGTTCATGCCATCTTCTCCCGCCAGAACGTCACTTCCAACCACCGGGCCAACGACACGGTGGTGTGCGAGGGCCGCCCCCAGGTGCTGAATGGACGCTTCATGTATGGGCCCTTGGACGTGGTCACACTCACTGGAGAGAAGGTCAGGACACAGGACCTTGGCCCCAGGGGGACCCACCCCCATCAGCTGACTTCGCCCCCAAATGGGTGCTCCCTGCCCTGCCTCCTTTGTCCTCCTTCCACCCCACCCCACCCCAGCTCCTGGCCTGTCAGGTTGAGTGCCCAGCCCCATCCACCCCTAATGACAGGCCTGCCCTGCCCTCTTCCATTCAAAGTCACGGGGTGCCAGAGGTCTCCACCCCATGGACGCTCTGGCCCCCTCCCCCCGACAGGTGGATGTCTACATCATGACGCAGCCACTGTCTGGCAAGTGGATCCACTTTGGCACCGAGGTCACCAACAGCTCAGGCCGCCTCACCTTCCCGGTGCCCCCCGAGCGTGCACTGGGCATCGGTGTCTACCCAGTGCGAATGATGGTCAGGTGAGCACGTGGTGGGCCAGTCCTTTGCAGGGTGGGACGCCACTGAACCTCGCCACCACACTGCTCACATCACCTGTGGACCTCAGGGGCGACCACACCTATGCCGAGTGCTGCCTGACAGTGGTGGCCCGCGGCACCGAGGCCGTGGTCTTCAGCATAGACGGCTCCTTCACTGCCAGTGTCTCCATCATGGGCAGTGACCCCAAGGTGCGCGCCGGCGCTGTGGACGTGGTCAGGTAGGAGCCGCCGCCCGGGCCGCCCTGGAGAGCAGCCCCACCCTGGCACCTGGAGCTGACTGCACTCCACCCTGCAGGCACTGGCAGGACGCGGGCTATCTGATTGTGTATGTCACGGGCCGGCCTGACATGCAGAAACACCGTGTGGTGGCCTGGCTGTCGCAGCACAACTTCCCCCATGGCGTTGTCTCCTTCTGCGACGGCCTCACCCATGACCCGCTACGCCAGAAAGCGACGTTTCTACAGAGCTTGGTGCAGGAGGTGCGGCGGCTGGGAAGGGTCCTGCTTCTGCCCTCTATGTCCGGGACCTTAACCGACGGGAGAGGTCCCTATGGTTCTGCCCTCTCATGCTCCAAGGGGCCCCTATCCTTAGGGCCAACTCAGGAGGTCCAGTTGGTCCTGCCTCCCAGCAGCGCCTGGTGCTGCAGGGCTCTGCCCTACAAACAGCTAGCTCAGCTCCCGAAACTCTCTGACCCAGGGAGCCCGCCAGACCCCGCCCCCAGCCTCATGCCTTGTTCCAGGGGTGGCTGACTGGCCCCATGCACCACAGGTGGAACTGAACATTGTGGCTGGCTATGGGTCCCCCAAAGATGTGGCCGTCTACGCGGCACTGGGCCTGCCCCCTGGCCAGACCTACATCGTGGGCCGCGCCGTGCGGAAGCTGCAAGCTCAGTGCCAGGTAAGGGCCGAGGGAGGACAGGACTGGAGGCCTGGGTCTGAGGCCGTAAGGTCCACCGTGTTAAGAGCCTGAGTGGGGAAGGGGTCCTGGCTAGTTTGGCTCAGCGATTAGTCAGCCTGAGGACCATAGAGTCACAGGTTCAATTCCGGTCAAGGGCGCAAACCTCAGTTGCAGTTTGGTCCCTGGCCCTGGTTGGGGTCATGCGGGAGGCAACCAATCGCATCGATGTTTCTCCCTCTTTCTCCCTCCCACTCTATCTGAAGATAAATGGAAAAATATCCTCTGGACCTGTAGGGGGGCGGCTATGGGAAGGCTGGCTGGTCTCAGGGGACCTGGGCTCCTCCTAGGACAGGGATCATGAGTAGCTTGGGGCTGCTGAGCAGACCAGTATTGATCACTCAGGCTGAAGTGCTGGCCCCACTGTAGCATGGCCCTGGGCAGGGCCTTGACCTTTTTAAGCCCCCGTTTCCCGTCTGTAAAATGGAAATGATAAAATGGCACTGACCTTGACAGCTGTCATGAACATCACGTGACTGACTGCGTGTCAGTGTGCACTGGGCTGGGCACAAAACAAGTGCTAAGTGTTAGCTATTACTACCTCGCCACAGAGAACCTCACTTTCTAGATGAGGAAGTGAGGCCTAGAGAGCAGCAGAGCCAGGAGTAAAGCCGAGGTACCGGCCCCAGCCTGAGGTTCCTCCCCGCCGACAGGAGGCCGGGTCAGGTTCTGCTAGGCCTGGAATGCAGCCAACTCTGTCCAGGAGCTTGGGGAGGGCAGGAGGGCAGTGTGTGGGCCTCAGACCACCATCCCCTCATCCCTGCCCACCTCTGCCCAGTTCCTGTCAGATGGCTATGTGGCCCACCTGGGCCAACTGGAAGCTGGCTCCCACCCTCACGCCCCTACGGGACCCTCGAGGGCCACCCTGGCCAAGAGCAGCTATGGTGGGGCTGCCCCTGTGGACTTCCTCCGCAAACAGAGCCAGCTGCTGCGCTCTAGGGGTCCCAGCCAGGCGGAGCGAGAGGGCCCAGGGACACCACCCACCACCCTGGCCCGGGGCAAGGCCCGAAGCATCAGCCTCAAGTTGGACTGCGGTGAGGCCTAAACTGTGGCTGGACCTGGGTTATTTATTCACACGTTCAGGGGCCCAAGTGACCACGTGTGGGAGGCTGGGGGCCCAGACCTCTGGCCCTGGTCCCCCAACTCCACACCCTGCATCTTTGCCTGCCCCTCAGTATTACTTCCCTTTCACGTGGGGGGACCCAGACCAGGGGGAGGGAGGAGGGAGCAACACGGGCCCAGAGGCTTTTCCAGTGTGTAAACCCATGAAAATAAACACCATGTACCTCCCACTTGATTGCCCACTTGCCTGGTCTCTCAGGGTGGCCAAGCCCACCATTTCCAGTTCGATGGGGACACTGCTGGGCAGAGGGGGTCCAGGAGGAGGCCTGGGCTCCGAAGGTCACGGGGGCTCTGTCTCCCCCTCTACACAAGCAAGACCTTTTTCTGGAGTCAGCCTACCCAGCCCTCCCCACCTGGGCCAGCCTTTCAATTCGCAAGGCCACCCTCAGCCCAGATTTGGCTTCTCGGTGAAACCTCTGCCTCCAGAAGCTGAGACCAGGGCACCACTGGATCAGAGGTTGGAGGCGGGAGGGAGACCATCCCACTCAAGCAGGGACTTCGTCTCCCCCTTAAGCCTGAAGGCTCCTGGGCGCTCAGCTCTGGCCAGCAAGAAACACTTCCCTTGTGGCAGAGATCATCCTCATTTCTCTGAGACACTGAGGCTCAGAGAGGCCTCAGGGCTGGTGAATGGGGTGCTGGGGTTGGAACCCTGATCCTTGGCCCCCAAAACCACTCAAGTACCAGGAAATCTGAAGTGATGACCCCACCTCTCCCAGTGGATCGGCTCGGCAGGCCCCGAGATAAATAAGGCCTTTATGTACAAAGAAGCGCGACACAGTGGGGGCGGACGGGCTGGCAGTGGCGGCAGTGAGCTGGGCAGGGTGAGCAGGGCCGTCAGTGGGAGAAGATGCCCCGGAAGCGGGCCTTGTCCTCTTGGTCCTTCTGCCGGATCCTGGCCTCCAGGGCCCGAAGCTCCTTGCTCACAATGGGTGCCAGGGCGGGGTCCAGCTCCAACACCTTGGCAAAGTCAGCCTGAGCCTCCTGGGCATTCCACACGGCTGCGTGTGCCTTGCCCCGCTTGAAGTAGGCCTTGACGTTGTCTGCAGGGGATATGAGCAGGCAGCAGGCATGCACGGGCATGACGGGGGAGCCGGCCAGCTGCCCATCTGCCTTCTAGCACCATTAGGTCCATCAGGGACAGAGGCCTCCTGACCTTCATGACATCACTCATACCTCATTGGCACAAGGCCCATGGCTCTGCCTGGCGGGGATATTTGGCTGAGCTGGGGGAGCTCAGAATGGGGGTGATGTCAAAGACTCAGTCTTGTACCCCAGTGGTGCTGGGGAGGTGGCGGCGCTGTCTGACCCCGCCCACCCTGGCAGCCCAGGCCGAGTGCTCACCATCGTACTTGTTGAGGATGGAGGAGCAGTGGTCCAGCACTTCGTAATACTCCTGGGCCACCAACTTGCACTGGCAGTAGTTGAGCAGCAGCGGAGTGATCTGCTGATCCAGCTGAATCCAGTCTGGGGATCCAGGCTGTTCCTGGCGGTGTGGGGGAAGGGGGAGGGGAACCAAAGCTGAGACCTGGGCCCCTGGCTCCCACTCAGCCCCTCCACCCCTGCCTTGGGCAGCACCTTCATCTGCAGGTTCTTGAGGCAGGCAATGGCGTCATAGTACTTGGCAGCGGCCTCCTTCACGTGGCCCTCTCGGTACAACCGGTTGCCCTCCTGGTGGATGACCGGCACCGCCTTTGCCTTCTCCTCGTCCGTCATTGCCCATGGGTCCTGCTGGTATGTGCCAGGGTCTTCCACCTGCAGAGCATGGGCCAAGTCAGGGGGAGCCCCAGGGCACCACAGCCGTTTGGCCCCCAGGCAATGGATACCACAGCCACAATCGCTTGTTCCCTCAACAACCATTGGACAAACATTTATGTAGCATCTCCCATGTGCCCAGCACTGTGCCAAGTTCCAGAAACACAACAGTGAGCAAGAAGGTGGAGATCCTTGGCCTCGCAGAGACCTGAAGCGGGAGGAGGTCCCAGGAGGGAGCCCCACGGGGACGGTCAGGGGTCTCACACAGGTGTTCCTGCCTGAACCCCCCCAGCAGTCTATCCATGGAGCCCATGAGCCCGGGGCAGGCAGGCAGGCAGAGCTGAAGCCCACCCTGAGGCTGGGCAGTGGCGGTTTGTCGAGGTGCCTGAGCCTTGGTGGCCCCTCACCTTAAGCATCTCAATGTCGAAGACAAGAGGCTGGGGGTTCTGCTGCAGGGCGTCCAGGTCGGCATGGCCCAGGGAACTGTGCTCGTGCATCTGGGCGATGCCACAGCAGTGCCGCTGGCCCTCCAGGGGGTCCTTGCCAGCTGCGATGTTGCGTAAACTCTTGGCCACCAGCGGATACAGGACCACGTGCTGCCGGAGGGCGAGTGGGCAGCAGGGGCTCTGTCAGTGTGGCCCCGAGGCCCAGCGCCCTGTCCAGGCACCACCTGAGAAAGGACACCGAGGCCCGGAGAAGAGCCGCAACTGGTTCAGCCCCACTCTGCTGAAACACAGGAGGGCTTTCCCCTCGGGACTCTGGCCTCCCAGCCCCTCTCCTGGTGAAGCCCCCCGCCCCTTCCACACGCTTTTGCCGCCAAACCAAGCCCAGCACTTACCCCCACAATCACACTCCCACTGTCAACCCATCTCCCCTGTCCTTACAGGCCCGGGGGAATTCTTACCTCCTCCTCCTCCTCCTCCTCCTCCTCCTCCCAGGAGTGCAGCCCACAGGCAGGACTCATCATTATTGGGGTCCCTCCATATTCTGTTCCCAGTCTTTGCCTTCTCTCCTGCCCCACCAGTACCCATTCAGGGCCTATCTCAGAGCTGAGCTCAGGGCAGCAACTTCAAAACCCACAGCAGGGAAACCCTCAGGCGGGGGGACCCAGCCTTTCACCTTTCTCTAGGAACAGCTGCTGGACGGTGGGAATAAGACTACCCAGGCCCGGCCAGCGTGGCTCAGTGGTGGAGCATTGACCCATGGACCAAGAGGTCGCTGGTTGGATTCCCGGTCAGGGCACATGCCTGGGTTGTGGACTCAATCCCCAGTGGGGGGCATGAAGGAGGTGGCTGATCGATATGTCTCTCTCATCGATGTTTCTATCCCTCTCCCTTCCTCTCTAAAAATCAATAAAAAATATATTTAAAAAAAAGACTGCCCCACCCCTAGTCTGACCAGCTCCTCTCACTGGCCCTGCTGTCTGCATACAGGCAGCAGACTCCCCTAGGCCTTGAGTCTGGGCTAGCCCACACTGGGCATTTTGAAACTGGAGAAAACAAGCCCAACCCCTGCCCTGAAGTAGCTGAGACCCAGGCAGAGTACCAGATCCTAGCCATGCAAGGCAAGATGGATTGGAGGACCCAAAGGAGGGGTTCAAGCCAACGACCAGCAGTCAGGGAGGGCTTCCTGGGGGTGGTGACCCAGGAATTCACTGGGAGGTATGAGGAAGGATCTTGGCCAAAAAGAGAATGGAAAGGAAAGGCAGAGAGGTGAGGGGGAGGGGAAGACTGGCAGGGGCCAGATCCTACAGGGCCAAGTAAGCAACCATAACTCATGCTCAGGCCTGATGGTGACCAGGGGCCTGAAGTAAGGAGTTGAGCGCGTCATCTGCATTTGAGAACCAGTTCCCTGGCTATTGTCCGGCTAATGAAGAGGAGAAGACAGAGTAGAGGCTGTGATGCTGGTGTCCTGGTGGTTCTGGTGACCTGGAGGGAGTTGGTGGTGACCTAGCCAGGGTAGAGGCCCTGGGATGGGGAACAGGGATGGCTGGACAGACATGGCGGACAGATGTGAGATGCCAGGCACCTTGACGTCGCAGTGGAACTGGGCAATCTCCCCTTCACGCATGGTGCTCACGATGGTCTCCCACACGGGCAGCTTGAACTTCTTGCCAATGATGAGCTCCATGGGCTTGCCACGCACACGGCTGTCGTCCAGCACAGTGCCCTCCTCATCGCTGTGCAGAGTCCGGTAGTGGAATGTGGCCTGCAGGCCAATGAGGGATCAGGCAAGGGCATAAACCCTCATCCAGCCCCCAAGAATAAGGCCGGCTCCCAGCCTGCAGATAGCAAACGGGACAGGGCTTGCCCAGGGGTACCTCTTGGCTTTTACCCCACCACCCTAGTGAGGAAACTGAGTCAAGGAGAGGGCAATAAGGGTCTCAAGTCACATGGCTAGTGGGTGCACAGCCTGGGAGGGGAGCCCAGCAGCCTGGCTCCAATCATTCTTCTAACAAATATTTACTGGGCCCCTACGATGTACCTGAGCTCTGTGTTAAACACAACAGTGAACAAAACAGACAAAATCCCTGCCCCATGGAGCTCACATGGGCCATCTAGAGGAAGGAGATGGGCCTCAAACTAAACAATATGCCATGTAAGGTGGAGGTGTCCTGTGATCAGAAAACACAGCAGCAGTAAGGCAGGAGGAGTTTCTATGGAATGGGGAAGGCAACCTTTAAGCAGAAATCTAAAGGGAGTAAAAGGAGCCTGGCCGGTGTGGCTCAGTGGTTGAGCATAAACCCATACACCAAGAGGTTGCCAGTTCAATTCCCGGTCAGGGCATATGCCCAGGTTGTGGTCCAAAGCCCCAGTGGGGGGCATGCAGGAGGCGGCCAATCAATGTTCTCTGTCATCAGTGTTTCTCTCTCTCCCTCTCCCTTCCTCTCTCTCTCTAAAAATCAATAAAGAAGAAAAAAAAATGCCCGGCCGGTGTGGCTCACTGGTTGAGCGTCAACCCATGCACCAAGAGGTGGCTGGTTTGATTCCCGGTCAGGGCACATGCCCAGGTTGTGGGTCTAATCCCCAGTGGGGGGCATGCAGGAGGCATGTTCTTTCTCATTGATGTTTCTATCTATCTACCTCTCCCTTCCTCTTTCTCTAAAATCAATAAAGAAAAAATATTTTATAAAAATAAAAATAAATAAAGGGAGTAAGGGGGAAAGCAAGCCAGGTAGATACTGGGGTAGCAAGGTGGTGTTAACTTTCTAGGCCAAAAGAATACCAGCTTTTGTAAAAGCCTCGTTCAAGAAGCAGCAGCAGAGTCACTGTGGCAGAAGCAGAATGACTGCAAGGGAGGGGTGCACCATGGAATCACGAGGTCAGCAGCGGTGGACCCCTGTACCCATGTGTGGTGAGAACATTGTTTTTCACTCTGAGATGGAAGCCACTCGGTGGATCCAAGCAGAGGAGGGACATGGCGTGACGCATGTCCCAATGCTGCTGGAATGAGAGCA